GGGGGGGGGGAGCAAGTCCAAACAGGTCTTGCAAATATAATTATCTTCTAATTTCCTTCAGATAAACAACAGAGCAATAGCTCACACTCCAAACTGTAATTAGCGAGCTATCGCGCAGGAAACCCTTGATCTGGTTGTGAGGGATGCAAATGGATTCAAAACATGCTGAATCTTATATCACACCACAGCGTGTGTCATATCATGTTAAATACTTCATCACATATTGTATCAATTTCATATCTGACTTGATATGATTATACAACCTTTCAGATGGTTTTTGTAGGAGAGATCCTCATATTATTTAAAAACATACACGATGTAGAAATGCATAACATATTTTAAGTACCTAAAAATACGTAATAAGCATAATTATATAATTCCAAACTTTTATTTGCTCATTATGCAGGATATCCCATGGATTATACTCATGAATAAATGAATGAACACATCACTTTAGCGGAAAAAGGTGGGGCTGATTATAAATACTAAAGCTTTATCTATAATAATAATCAGATTAAATGTTTGTAATATTCTGTTTTAATCATTTGAAGCAACTAAACTCAGCAAATATTTGTAGTGAAGTAAAAAGTAGTTGAAACTTAGTGCGGGAAAAGTACAAAGTAAGAAAAATGTAAATACCGGAACTACAGATCTTAAGTAAACGTACTTTCAAGTATTGGATATAGCATAACATGTGTGTTGACAACTCATCATATGTAAACCAGAAATAAAAAATATATTACTTTAAATATAATCAAATGTTAGCATCTAAACAAGATCGGCACTGTTTAACAAACTACTGTGGACAAATGTTTTATTTTTTCCACATTCTCAGACTATTGTTATAGGAGGAGGATTGGAAACTGCCGGTACTGTACAGTGCGGTGCTTGGAGCTGCCCTGTGGAGTTTTTATGTAATAAACAGAGTTTCCCTTTACATTCAGAATCACCTGTGTGCACAAGGTGAAATATAAAGGGAACCCACACAGAGGAACATTCCTCCATAGCGCTACTAATGGTCCAAAACTCCACGGGGAACAAGATGTTCAGCTGGATGTTAATGCTGAGGCAGTATACAGAAAACAGTAACGAAGACTGCATTTTCCTGTATAGGATGAATGTTTTTTATGTTAACCGAAAGGTGAAGGTGTTATCCATCTTAGAATCCGTCCTGACCTTCTCAGTTATTTGTTGGCTTGGAAATGTAAATGTGCCAGTGTTTCCCACAGATTTGAAATATTCTTGGGGTGGTGGTGGTAGCGGGTTGAGGTGACGTGCAACAACATTAACATTAACCTTTCTGTTGGTCGCTTGTTAGCAGACCCTTCACGCGATGGCAGAGCGAACAGGTACAGGCAGGGCCCATAGTGATAGCCCTATGGTTTAAATGTACTACCCACAAATAAACATATGGACATGGGTTACTATTTAATTTAAAAAAAAAATGTATTTAGGAACCTATCAGTGATTTTAAGTGGGGGTGGACCTCAAATCCTCTAGGGGGGTCCGGGCATGCTACGCCGGTAAGATTTCTTTATTTTATTTTGGAGTTAAATGCATCAATCTGATGCACTTTGAGGGGCAAATTAAGAAACTAGATTTATGGGAACACCTATGAAACAGAACTGTATGCATTTCAATAATCATAAAATCATGGCCATAACCAATAACATACCATTTCCAATGCGAAAAGAAACTGAAACTTGTTTATTTATTTATTTTTGGTTCATTTATAGTTGTGAGTGTGTCTGGGCTCCTGACTCAGCCTCTCCTGTCTCCCTCCTCTCCCCCTGCTCCTCTTTGAGGCAA